CCCCCCCCCCCCATGTACAAAAAAAAGCCCAAGGTCTCCAGGAGTCGTTTTCCTTCCGTTCCGTTCCCTCCCCCGCACTGGAGCCTTGTGGAGCTTCCCGCCTCCCAGTCCTTTGCTCCCCCCAAACCCTCAGGGGGAGCTTTTAACCCCCCCCCCCACTCCTCAGGGGTGTCTTTACACCCCAAGCCCCAAGGATGTCTTTTACCCCCCTTCTCTCTCAAAACCCCCCGATGTCTTTTATCTCTGCCCCCCCCCCCCCCAAAAAAAAACCCACCCAAACTTCCTTCAGGGATGTCCTTTACCCCCTAAATCCCAACTGCAAGGCCTCGAGGAATTGGAATTCATCTCCTTCCCCCTCCTTCCAAGAACGAGGCCTCGGGGAGCTCATCCATCCTCCCCCCCACCAAAAAAAAAAAAAAGTGAGGCCTCGTGGGTGGATTTCTCCTTCTCTTCCTTCCCCACCCCCGAATCGAGGCCTTGGGGGTCTCTTCATCCCCTTCTCCCTCCAGAAATGAGGCATTGAGGGCCTTATCCTGCTTCTTCTCCTTCCAAATGCCTCCACGGCCTAAACCCGAGGCCTCCAGCCCCTCTTTTCCCAACCCTCCTCCCCAAAAACGGGGCCTGGAGGAGCTGTTTGTCCCCACCTTCCATCCCTGACGCCTCGAGGAGTTTTATCCCCCCCACCAGGAAAACTTCCATGATTCCCTAAACACCCCCCACCCCACGCCAGATGCCTCCACCTCCCCCATCCCACATGGATCCAGCGCCCTGAGCCACCTTCCCCCTCCCGTGTCCCACCCTGGCTCTGCTCCCCAGCCCTTCCCTGGGCTTCCCCCTCTCCCACAGACACCTTTGTGTCCATTTTTCGTGCCTTCCCTGCACCGTCTCAGCTCTGTCCTTCCTCCCTCACCCCTGTTCCTGCACCTTCCTCCTCCTCTTGTATTCCCAGAACTCCAGCCATGCAGTTGCTCCATCCGATTTTGCTCTTCCTGGTCTCCTTTAATCCCGTTATTCCCCCAGTTTCCCTCCTGAGTGGCTCCTGTTTTGCCCTGGCCCACTCTGGTCTCGACAAAACTTCTGGTTTTGTGTTTGTTGATCTTCCATCATTCTCCTTTTCTGCAATCACCTGCTTTAGGATCCTTCCCTCCTTCAGATTCCTGGGATTCCTGTAAACCACTGGCAGTGCCCTCCATGTAAATTATTCAAGTGGCTTTTCTTTTATTTAAGTGAGGCTCCATATGGTTTTCTTATCTCCCAGCGCTGGGCTTTAGTGGATACAACAAAATGTGGGAGTCAACTCCTTATAAAAATGGGTTTGAATTAGAAGTTTGGCATTTTTTCCTGTGCAAGATCCGAATTAAAGGAGTGGCTGCTGAAGAGAGGGTTGCACTTCCAGCTGGGCTCTGATAGAAATCCCTGGAGTGTGGTTTGGGAGGTGCTGATGCGATTCCAGGCACCAATAACCACAAGTTTCATGGCCAGGTCTGTAATTCTGAGGTATCAAAACCTTCCTTTGTGAGGGCACAGGCTCTAAAAGAACAGTTTGAACCCCCCCAGAGTTGATGTGAGTGGAGAAATGTTTGGTGTGAGGAGGCCAGGAAGGCAGCCAGGATAACTACTGTGTTAAATGACACCTCCCCTGTCTCAGAAGCCAAATTTCTAATATTTTCAAACCCAAAACATGAAGCTTCAGGCCCCGTGGGTGTTGGATCTGATCCAGTGGTGATATTGTCCCTGTTCTTGGAAGCACCCAGAGCACAGGACAGTGCTCTGCAGGTTTTCCAAGTGGGAATCCCCTCACCTGGCTGATGATAAAGGTTCCAGGTTGTATTTGTTGCCTCAAAGAGCTCTTAAACCAAATCCCAAACTTCCCTTTACAGGCAGCGCGAGAACACGGAGCAAGACCTGGGGAACAAGAATGGATTGCAAAGATCTTCCTCCTCAGAATCCACAGACTCAGGTATGGCCTTCCCAGTTAATAATTAACAATCAAGGATTGAAAAGCAGCGTGGTTTTCCGTGGCTCCCACTGCAAGCAGCTGCCAGGGTTTGGATAGAGAGCCTTCCCTGCCTGGGGTGGCTCCTGGATGTTGGTGTGGAAAACAGGGAGAAGGTGTTGGGATCCCATCTCTCCCGTGGAGCTGCTGCCCTTTGGAGGGTGATGAAGGCGAGTCCCCACCATCTGTTTTCTCTCTCTAAACCCAAACTGGGCCAGCCTGCCCCAGTTGAGTGGGTTTGCCTTGTGGTTTGGGGTTGTGGGTGGGTGTTTTTCTTGTTAACAAGAGCTGGTTGTTTATCTGAAACACTTCAGTTCTGATACTTGCCTAGAAAGATTTCCTTTGTTTGAGGTGAGAAGCTTTATCAGTAAAAATGAAACAAGCTCTTACCCCGTAACTTGTAGACACAGAGAAGCTCTGGGACCTCATTGCTCCAGCTCAGGAAAATCAGTGTTTCCACCTGAATTTATGCCCCACTTTGAAGGCACTTTTAGCCTAGAAACGAACTTGATGAACTTCTAAAACAAAAGTCCAGCACACAAAGCACAGAGCAGGATAGAACAACCAACCTTGTTAAATCCTCACTCTCTCCAGCTCCTCAGGAATCTGTGTCTGAGTAACTTTGCAGCATTTTAGTGCAGACAAATGCAACGTTCTGCTTGGCTTGTGCTTATGGAGTGCTTCCTGTTCTTTCCAGTACATTAGGAAGGGCCTTTTGACTGCTTATCTTCTTGGAATAAGCCCAAAATTTCTTCCTGGGAAGAGGTATAACTAAAAACATGGCTTAGGAAAAAAAAAACAAACATAAAGGACTAAACTGTTTGTTTATTAAGGTGTGTAGAAGAGAATAAGCCAAGAGTATTCCATGTGACAGTCTAGGCAGGGCTAGGGGGGCTTTTTTTTAATTACTCCTGGTTTTCCCCAAGCACTTGATTATCCATATCCATGTCCAAATCCAACCTCAGGGAGTGTCTGTAACCCTTACTTGGAGGTGAGGCTGCAGGTGGGACTTTCCACATGAGTTCCCCGGGTCTTTCTGTGTAAATCTGTCACAGTGTCCAATAATCCATGTTTCCTGAGCACTGACCACCAGGAATTCTGTGTGTCCTCTGCAGGTTTGGCTTTGGATTCTCCCGGCCCTGCGACCTCCGGCGACCCCGTGGAGGACACGTATGTAACCACGTGTTGTGGTTGTTGTATCATCAACAAACGTGGCTTGATGAGGCCTGATGAGGCTTTTCCTTTGCTGGCACATGTGGGCTCTTCCCTCATGAGCTGGAGGTGCTGGGAATGGCCCTGCCTGTGTCCCAGGGCACCAAGGTGTTGGCTCTGAGCTGAGGTTGTTGTACCACACACCTTACCAGGAGCCTGAGCCTGCACCAAGTTGCATCTAAATTGCAGTTTCCAACACTTAAATTTATGCTTTTCTGTGCCTTAACTGATCACAGAATCCCAGAATCGTTGGAAAAGACCTCTGAGATCATCAAGTCCAACCTTTGACCCATCACCACCTTGTCAGCTAGGACTGATGCCAGCAGTTACCCTGAGCTTTGAGCTTGCCACTCCCAATTGGATTATTTTTTTTCCCCCCCAATCTCTTCCCAGGGATGGGGACAGATGCCCTTGGTCCCTGATTTACCACGCCCTTCCTCCTTCAGCCTCACTTCTTGTCTGAACAGTGCTGGAAAGAATTTAAGGGAAGGAGGGGAGAAGGAGTCTTTGAGTGTTTCAGAAATCAGGATGGGAGAGCCTGGCTGTAAATAGGGTTTGGGAGAGACAAGTGTCATTAAGAAGCAGGTCGCCCAGAGCAGCTGTGGCTGCCCCACCCCTGGAAGTGTCCAAGGCCAGGTTGGAGCAACCTGGGCTAGTGGAAGGTGTCCCTGCCCGTGGCAAGGAGTGGGAATGGATGCTCCTTAAGATCCCTTCAAACCCAAACCATCCTGGGATTCTGTGTTGGCTTGTGCTTGGCATAACCCCTAAATAAAGGGCTGACTTTTAATGTGCATCTCTCTCGCTTTTAGGTTTGAGAAAGCAATTCTCAAATCCAGCAGACTGAAGTGAGTATAATTCTATTTGAAGCTCTTAGTGTCTGCTGTAGCTTATGGAGTGTGGGGGGGTGAGTTTTGATCATGTCTTTTAAAAAAAAATGTTGAGATAAATCTCTGTTCTTTCTCACTGCAGCCTTCGAATACCTTTCAGGAGAATACACTCCCTGCCAGTAAGTGAGAGTGGGACTGATGGTCTGCAAATGCTAAAGGATTTAGCATGTTCATGGTTGAATACATTGCCTAACTTGTTAATTTTCTGGCTGCCAAAGCAGCTGCTGAGGGTGCTTAATGCAAACTGTCAGAATTGCAGCTTGTACATTCTAAATCTCACTTAAGTTACCGTGAAATCTCTGTGGTGTGCTGCAGTGGGAGCATTTTGGTACCTGTGCTGAGGTGTCAGCAAAGTTTCCTGCCCAAATTCATAGTCAGAGAATTTACAGTCTTTATTAACCCCTTGTGTGCTTAAAATGTGCTTTTTGCACAATACTGAACTGGCGTTTTTGTGTGGTCATTGTAGCAAAATCTGCTGGGATCCAGCCCTGCCCTGAAGAGAAACCATTCAGATTCTCTGGACAGTGATGCTTTTCAGCCATTGGCACAAGATGAAAATAAGGAGAATGTAAGTGATTAGAGAGATTAATAAAAACTGGGAAGACTTTGAATGTGCAGCTCCACCACTAACCCTGACTCCTTTCTGGCTGTGGCAAGGGGGGAGGTATTCTCTCTGCTTGCTCCAGAGAATTCCAAGGGCTGCCTCCAGGAAGCTGTTTAGGTGGATCAACCCCTCTCATCCCACTGCTGCCATGGATTCCTCATGGAATCAATGTCCTTTGGCTACTGGGAACCCCGTGGGTGAGACTCTGACATGTCTGCAGGAGAGAACACAGCCTTGGCTGCCTTCAAAAATGATGTATTTTGCAGAGAAGTTGACTGACAGGGATAGAAAAGCCTTCAGCCTGTAGGTGATGTCAGGAGCATAAATTTTGGATTATGTTAAATGAAACACTTGTAACATCTTTCATTTGAAAACATTCACCTTCAGACTATTCCTGTTGGCAGCAGGGAGCTTAAATCCAAAATGTCAGGTAGTTTGCTGTTAGGATAAAATGATCCAAGCAACCCACACAGTTTGTCATTCTGGTAAAATGATGGTTTTCTTCCTTTTTAATTCAGGAATCATTTGAGTTTAAGAAGCCAACCAAACCAGCTTCTCGTTGCTTCCGTGATGGAAGGGCTGGAGCAAGGCAGAATTCACCTCCAGCTCAGATTGTAAGTTCTTTTCCACTAATTCTCACCTAATTCTTTGCTGCCCACTCTCTGGGAGGAAGACAAATTGTGTCAGGGTTCAAGGGCAGTGCTGTCAATCACCACTGCTCAGGTGCCAGATAGAAAGACTTAATTTATCTGCCAGATAAGAAAATTTTTCTCACCTTTGGCTCCTGAAATGGTCAGAAATTTGAAACGTGGATTGTTCTGGGAAGGATGAGTCAGTGCAGAGCTGAGGTTCTGCTGCAGTAATTGAGGGGAGTGTGGGCATTGATGTGGAATTGGAGTTGATTTCACTATGACTTATGTTGAGGCTGATGCATTTGGAACAACAACCCCAGCTGTGCAGAAAAAGCTGGATTTTGTGTCCAGATGTGACACCCAGGGAGAAAATGTTGCCTTATTCGTGTCCTGTTGCTTAGAAAGAGCAACTGAAAAATCACGATGGGTCCTTGCACAGAAACAGGGTTGGGGGCCAAGTCTTGTCTTCACTCCCTGAGTCTGGCAGCCCTTCATCCTTCCAGTTCCTCTCTGTCCTGTTTGCTCCATGTGAAGGAATAACCACAGTGTTCCCTGGTCATGGCATCAGCTCTGGGAAGGGAAGGAATGTTGTTAAAATGAAAACTGTCTCCTCTCAGATTCCCATGGATGAAACACCCTCGGGTGAGCAGGAGAACTACAGGCCAGCCTTCCTGCAGCAGCATTCCCTGACCTCAGAAAGCGAGGACGACGACGGATTCCTGGAGCTGCTGGATGACCAGGATTTGAAGGTATGTGCAAAGGGAATGGGATGGAGATCCCAAATACGGTTCTGCCTGATGCTGCTGTGTGTGTCTGTGGTGCAGGTGTGTTCTGGCAGAAGTCAGTGTGCTCAGTCAAACTGCAGTAAGTTTAGGGAATCGTGGAATCCCAGAGTGGTTTGGGTTGGAAGGAACCTCAAAGACCATCCACTTCCAGCCCCCTGCCATGTGCAGGGACACCTCCCACTAGGAGATATCATCATCTTTTTCAACTTACACTGTGGTATCCCTATCTTATAAGTGCTTTTTCCTAGTGCAGACAGTGGGATTTGTTTGGTGTGTGAACAAGGGAGTTATTTTTAGTTGGAGAACTGCACTACGAGAGAGAATTATTGGAACAGTTGGCATTTTGCTTTAGAGACTTGCTGGAAAACTCAGAGGTGGTGTTTGCTTTGCAACCACTTAAATAGAGAACAGTTTCCAACTGAATTTGAGATGCTTAAAGCTCTGGAGGATCATCACTGTTGATGCATCAATGAACTGATATAACTCCAGCGTGTCTCAGCTCGGGTCTGTTGTTTCATTGAGCGGAGTTCAATTCCTAAAGCTGCCCTGGCAGCTGAACCCAGCTGGAATGTTTGCCCCAGCTGTACAGGAGCTGTGTTCACAGCCTGTGGTGCAGCAGGTGGGATGACCCTCCTTTCTTTCCCCCCTCAGAACGACGAGGAGGTGCCGTCGGACGTGGCGAGTCTCTGGACCGCGCCGCTGGTCATGAGGAGAGCGGACAATCGGGTGAGTGTCCCCAGCACAGAGGCTGGCCTGTGTCCTGGCACTTCCACTGCCCAGACAAGTGATCCCACTGTCTCCTGTATCCCTAAGGACAACAACAAAACAAGCCCTGGCACGACCCCCTGCAGTATTCCCTTATCTCTGAAGCTGTTTGCCTGGAAGACTTTGTCAGTCTGGAACGTTTGTAGGCATTAAATTTCTTTTTACACTTCACAAGCTGTGAGGAAAACCTTGACTTCCCTTATCAGAATCTTGTTGGCATATCTGGAATTCGGCCCTGCACAGGCTCACCTGGAATGCTGATCCCCTGATAAGAGACTGGGAAGGGAGTTTAGACTCCAGTAAAAAGCTCCTTGATCTGCTGATAGATTGGCTGCTAATTGGTGCAGAGCACTTCATCTTCCTTAGGGTGCTCCAAGCTCCCCCAGTCCCCCCAGTAGCAAGTGTTACTGGAAATGCACAGCCTGAATAATTCAAATTACAGTTGCTATGCAGTGGTGATGTCTTAAACAAGGCAAAACCTGTAACAATCTGTAATCCTGAGGCTTGTTTATTTTCCAAGCTAAACCTTTGCTGGACAACTCAACTCCTCTCCTTCCTCACAGGCCAAACGGTGCCGCTTGTTTGGCTCTTCATCTGTGTCCAGCATTGCAGGAAGAACCACCCAGAAGAGGATGGAGAGATCCCAGGAGGACAATTCCCCTGGGAAAAGCAAGAAGAGGAAAAGCCTGCCTGGAACTTCCGAGGACCCAACGGTTGGTGACTCAGCATCCAGTTTGCAGGAGGGAATTGACTGGGGGGGATCTGGTGTTGGTGCCTGGGTTATGAAGGTCAACGGGAGCTTTCTTGGATGAAAAGTGAGATTTGGGGGAGCTGGGGCAGCACTTGCATATCCTGAACCTGAGCTTTGCCCTAGAACAGCGGGGAAGCTGAGGAGTCGGAATTCAGAGCTCTGGGGTCAAATCTGAGTTGTGTGTTATGGGAAATAGGGAATGGGATGTGTCTGCTGCCAGTGCTGATCTCTGACCTGTGTCCTCCAGAGTGTGAAGCTGGTGAGGACCCAACCCTCCACAGCAGAGATCGAGAGCATTTTGGACAGTGACCAGAGAGACCTGATTGGGGACTTCTCCAAGGTAATTCCAGGGATTCCATGGCCAGGGGTTTACTGGAGTGTTCCAATGGCCTCTCAAACCAGCCCAGCAAAGCCCCTCCCTTTACAGAGGCTTTTCTGCTGCTACATAAATCTGGCTTGGTTGGACTTGGTGATCTTGGAGGTCTTCTCCAACCTTAACCATTCTGTGATCCTCAGATAACTAGGAGAGGCTGTTGGTGAGAAGGGACAGGTTAGACACAAAGTGATTAATTTGTGGTTAAAGACCTACAAAATCCCTCTGGTGCAGGAGCCAAACATTAAATTCTGTCCCTGACTTTAGAATTCTTAGTCTTAACTCCTGAAAAGATTCTTGTCAGCAGAGTATCTGTCAGAGAATGAACTGCTGGATGCTGTGACTCACATCTGGGTTTTCTCCATCCTGTCTGTCTTAGAGCTATTTACTTGACACTGTTGATGGGAAACATCAGGATTTAAAATACATCGACTCAGAAATGGTGAGTGCTCCGAGGAGAGGCAGAAAAATTCTTTACTGGGGTTTAGGGGACAACACAAAAACATCCTGAAACAACTGACCTCTGGTTTTTTGTGTTTGTTTTTTTTTCCTCAGATTGTGTCTGTGCTGACTGGGAAGTTTGAGAGCTTCATCAAGCAATGTGTGATAATGGACTGCAGATACCCCTACGAGTACGAAGGAGGGCACATCAAGGTATGTTGACCCTGTAAGAGCAACCCAGAGGGGTCTGAAGTTGCAGTATGGGGTCACTTGGCCCCACGTGGGGCTGACTGTTATCCAAGGCCATGTGGATGTGTTATTCCTGAGGTGTCCCACTGGGACCCTCTCACACCCACCCACTACCTGGATCTTGGACACTGAGCTCACACTTGGTTCATAAAGTGCCTTTTCCCCTCAGAGGGGAGTGTTCTGCCCTCCTTAAGCACAGGAGGGGGCCTGTGTGGCCATCAGGGAGATGGTTCCAGAGGAAGGATGTAAGACACTCAGTGTGCAACATCCTGGTATCCAGGGAAGCTAAAATTGGAACATTAAACTTAATTTAAATCACAGACTTCAAAGGACAAAGGGCTGTGGAAAACATAACCAGGAACAGATCACCCAGAGAGGATGTGGCCTTGGAGCCCCTTGCAGGGCCTAAAGGGGCTCCAGGAGAGCTGGGGAGGGACTTGGGACAAGGGATGGAGGGACAGGACACAGGGAATGGCTTCCCAGTGCCAGAGGGCAGGGAGAGATGGGATATTGGGAAGGAATTCTTGGCTGTGAGGGTGGGGAGGCCCTGGCACAGGTTGCCCAGAGAAGCTGTGGCTGCCCCTGGATCCCTGGAAGTGTCCAAGGCCAGGTTGGACGGGGCTTGGAGCAACCTGGGCTAGTGGAAGGTGTCCCTGCCCATGGCAGGGGGTGGGAACTGGATGATCCTTAAGGTCCCTTCAGACCCAAACCATTCTGGGATTCTGTAACTGATCCTGGACATTGCTGCATGATCAAAGGCCATCCCAAATACACGAGGTGGGGAGGGAAATCCAAGGAGCCACAACCTACAGGTGCTGAATTGTCCATCTGAACCAGGTCGTGGTCACCCAGAGCCAGGCCCAGGCTCTGTGGTGCGCTGGTGGCGTTTGGAGCTGGGTTTGGAGAGGGTTCCAGAGCTCCTCCAGCAAACCAAGGGGAGGAAACTGCTCTCAAGGGAGTGGGATAAGCTTGTTCAGTTCCCCCCCTGCCCTCACAGGGTGCCATAAACCTGCACATGGAAGAGGACGTGGAGAACTACCTGCTGAAGCGGCCGATCGAGCCGGCGGAGAACAAGCGGGTCATCGTGGTGTTCTACTGCGAGTTCTCCTCGGAGAGGGGCCCTCGGATGTGAGTGCCCAGCCCCTGGAGAAGGACCTGGAGCTGTGGGGGTGGCACCAGCAGGACATGGGGGTTGTCACCTGGCGGGGCTGTGGCACAGCCCGTGGTGGGAGTGGCCGTGGGAGCACTGGTGTGTTGGGAGGGAAAGGGGAAAACCAGTTGACTGTGGCTGTGTGGGTCCTCAGCCCCTTCCTGGCAGGCAGCAGCAGACTCCTGTGGTCCCAGGGACGGGGAGTGTGGGGTGAGAGCTGGCTTGGGGTGTTGTTTGTGGAATGCAGGGTTTACCGGGATCTTCCCTGCTGCAGGTGCCGGTTCGTGCGGGAGCAGGACAGGCTGAGCAACGAGTACCCCAGCCTGCACTACCCAGAGCTCTACGTGCTCAAGGGGGGCTACAAGGATTTCTTCTCCAGATGCAGGGTAAGGAACTTCCTCCCAGACTGTGGATTCCCCGTCCCTGGAAGTGTTCAGGGCCTGGAGCAGCCCAGTCTAGTGGAAGGTGTCCCTGCCCCTGGCGGGAGGGGGGAACAAGATCTTGAAAGTCCTTTCCAACCCAAACCATCCCATGATTGTTCTTTGATCTCTTTCACACTCAGGAGAAGTGGTAGATAAGTATTATTGATTTATTCATGCTCAGACTTGTCATTGGAGCAGAGTGGTTTGGCTGGGATGGCTTCTCTGCTCTCTCTGTGCTCTGTTCCCAGAGCAGCTCAGGTTTGGCTCTCTGAGCCTGTTCCTTCCCTTCCCTCAGAGCTGTTTTCCTGCCATAGCTGAAAGATTTTTCCACTTGTATCAGAGGTAAAATATAAAAGTGGTTTCTGCCCTTTTAGAACAAACTGTCACTGAGGAAAGGGACTGCACAGAGCAGGGGAGAAGACAAGGCTTGACAGCAATTGCTGGATAACAAATGGAAACCTCAGGTCTCCTACAGTCCTGAAAAAGCAAAATTGGAAACCTGAGCTTGGAGTTTACAACCTCTAATTCAGACAAGGAAACTAAGAACGCCCCACAGCTCTTCCCAGCACTTTGAGGGTGGGATTTCTCCTACCCCTTGGCTTTTGCTCCTGCAGCATTTCCATGGCCGGACTCTCTCCAGTGCTCCTGGGGTCTGTCCTGCTGCTCTGGCACAAACAGGCCATGGCCTGACTGTCACCTCAGTCCCTCACACTTCAGAATTATCCCTTAGATTGCCTTCCTGGTGTGTTTTCAGGGAGATGGGAGGTATCTGGCCTGTCTGTGGCCAGTTGGATGGGGTTGTCAGCTCCTTCCTGCTGGGGTGTGGGAGATGCTGGTGCTGGTGGCACCGAGTGCTGCCCGGTTGTTTCTCACCCTCCCTGCGATCTGCTGGCCCCCCTGGGGCGATGGGCACGTGGGATTTGGGTTGTCCCTGTGGGTTTTGGATTGTCCCTGTCCCGGGGAGGGGTGACCGAGGCCTCAAGGTGGCAGCACGGAACAGCCGACGGGGCTCCGCGATCCCGAGGCACAGGGATCCTTCCTTCCAGTCCCTGCCCTTCCAGGGGGAACACCAGCGAAACTCAGCCGTGATGCTGCCTGCCAGAACACTTGGGATGAGAGCCCTGTGCCCAGGGTTTGGTAGCTGCGTTCTGAATATCCCTGGGCTCTGAGTGTGGAGCTCCCATGTGGAGCAGGGGGGGTCTGTCCCTGTTTATTCCGAGGGTGGTTGTTGCAGTGGCTGCTGCCAGGCTCTGTCAGGGGGCTCCTCACCCCTGTGACACCGAGGTGACAGCAGCTCCTCTCTCCCCAGAGCTTCTGTGAGCCCGAGAGCTACCGCCCCATGCACCACAAGGACTTTAAGGAGGACCTGAAGAGGTTCCGCACCAAGAGCCGGACCTGGGCTGGGGAGAAGAGCAAGAGGGAGATGTACAGTCGCCTGAAGAAGCTCTGAGGGCTGCAGGGACCCAGCACGGACTGTCCAGCGTGGGGGGGGCCTGTCCTGCCTCTCTCTCCTCCTCCGTTTGCTCCCTGGGAACTCCTGGAACTCGGGGCTCCGGGCCCGGATCCGGCCGGGAGCTGCCTTTGGTTATTTTTGTTACGTTGCTTCCTGAAAAATGGCTTCTTGTGTTCTGTGCCACCCCCAGAGCGCCCGGGGAGGGGTGGGGGGAGACCCGTGGGGGCAGCAGTGTTGAGGGTGTTTTAGTGCCTGTTATTTTTTTTTTTTTTTAAATGCTCGATTTTATTTAAATACAGTCAAATGAAGCCAATACTGCCGCTGTTGGATCATCTGGGTTCTGCTCAAACCTGGTTTCTGCCCCGGGGCATCCTGCTGGTGGAGGGGTGGGGGTTAATTGTTGTACTCAGCTGCAGCTTTGGTTCTGTGTAGTGTTTGTGGTGAAGGAAAATGGGAAATGTCCTGTTACAGCCCGAGGTTCCCACCTCTGAGCCTTTGAAAGCCCATCTAAGGGGAATTGCTTGTTCATAAATATCATGTTCACCTCGTTTACTTCAAATCGTTTTATTTCGTAGTCTCTTTGTGTAGTTTTAGAGGAAGTTGGTGTTTTAAAGGAGGGAGGATTTCTGGGAGCTGGGGGGGGTCAGCAGTGGGGTGAAAAGCTGTTGATTTACTGTTGCCTCTGAGGGTGTGAGTTGTTATCCTGAAACATTCCCAGAACAGAGTGTGAGGAATCCTAGGAAGCTGCTCCTTCACCCAGGGGTGACTGTGGCCACTTCTCCCTCTGCCAGGAAAGGCAGGAACTGAATTAATCCTTGAAGGAAGAGGAACTTCCTCGGCAGCATTGTGCCCTACAGCTGAGGAAGTTCTGCTGTGCCAGCCCCAAAACTGCTTGGCTGCTGATTTTTGGGGTCACATCAGCCCCAGCTCTTCAGTCCTGCAGCAGCCCAGGGATTTTGGGGTGTGATGGTGCTGGAGCTCATCTTCCTCACACACCAACTTCCTGGAGAAACTGGGGCTCCTTGGGAGCACCACGTGCCTGGGAAGCTCCCAGCTCTCCTCTCGTGTCCTGTTTGTATCCGTGTCAAAAAAGTGTTGAAATGGAGGTGCCTTATGTGGAGTTCTGACTTGATTTTTTTTGAAAATCTGTTTCTTAAAACGTTGTTGTTAATCCTCTTGAGAAGCAAGGAGTTTTTTCTCGTTTAAAAAAAAAAATAAATCGGAATTTGCTGTTTTCCCTCAAAGCTTGAAGCCCTCGAAGGGGGAGGTGAGGAAATGCTGAATCAGGAATGGTGGTTACAAATTTCTCCCCTTGGGAAATTTGGGAGGGCTGAACTCCTGAGTGGGGGATGTGGGGTGGGAGGAGGCCACGGGCAGTGACCTGAGGGACCCAAAGTGCTCTTTGGTCGAGCCCAGGGGGTAAATCATCAGTTCAGCAACACGAGGGCTGGGCAGGATCTCTTGGTACAGCTCCCTGATCCAACAGTTGCTCCATGTGAGAGTTTAACTCCTCAGAAAAAGCAGATGGAGACTTGCTGGGGTCATGATGCTCTTTTCTGAGGACGCTCAGCTGGAGCAAAACTATTGCAGCAATTCCTGCTGTGCAGCTGCACTTCCCCTGGATCTGCTCATCATCCCAAACTTCCTGCTGTTCAGGAAGCTGGATCTGGGGCGGGTGCTGGGGCTGTGGCCCAGCAGTACCGGGGGATGAGCAGAGATTGGGAATGATTGGAGCCCTGTGGGGATGGAAATGAGCCCCTGGTGCCAGACCCCACCTTGCTCTGTGGGTCGGGAGTCCTGAGGTGGGAGAAGGCTGGGAGAGGGCTGCTCCAGGCAGGATCTGCTCTGTGTCATCCCAGAACTTAAGAGATCGTTGTGGGCAAAGGGAATAAGGTCCTAAAAACCCAAACAGTTTGAATCCAACTGTTGCTGCAGCAGAGGCACTGGTGAAGCTGCTCCGTGTCACTGCAGTGTCAGAACAAGCCCAGGGTGGGGGTTGCTGCTTTTCATGTCCTGTGTCTTTGCTTGTTGCTTGCAGGAGAAACACTTCCAGAGAAACTGTGGCTGCCCCTGGATCCCTGGAAGTGTCCAAGGCCAGGTTGGACGGGGCTTGGAGCAACCTGGGCTTGGTGGAAGGTGTCCCTGCCCATGGCAGGGGGTGGCACTGGATGAGCTTTAAGGTCCCTTCCAACCCAAACCGTTCTGGGATTCTGTGAACTCCAGGGCTGCAGCCACCTGAATGTCAAAGCTGGGCATTCCCATCGCTCCATGTTCATTGTGGAGTCTCAGCTGGCTTTGGGATGAGGGTCCTGGGCTGTGCTGGAGGCTTTCCCAGGGCTGGGAAGAGCTTCAGCAGAGCGTGGGGGTGACGAGCAGGTGGCCAACAATGGGGTCAGCATTAAAAGCTTCCCTGAAAACACAGCAATGTGACTCCAAATCCACGGGAGGCTCAAGCAGAGAACTGGGTGGGGTTTTTTTTCCCTTCCCTCCATCTGTCATCCTTAAAACTCGTTTTGAAAGCAGCTTAAACCTTCATCAGCTTTGACCACTGGCTCCTGAATGGTGCGAAGGTTGGGGTTTCCTTGCGTGTTGTGTTACCTTTGGTGGCCTAAAGGGACTCTTGTGCTCTGTCTCTTGTGGCATTTGGGGCTAATAAAGGCCAACTGCAAAGGGCCAGCTGCCCTGCTGGGCCAGCAGCTCCTGGATCCCTTGGATTCCCTTGGGAATTGCCAGCGGGTGTCCGACATCCCTCCAGTGCTGCCCCAACCAGCCAATTCCCTGCTTTTAACTCCTTTTGCAGCTTCTCAAACAAATCTGCCTTTGCCTTTCTGCCTCCTCTGTTTTCTTTGTGTGACAGCTCTTGGAGCCTGTTCCTGCACTCCTGTTCCTGCATCCTGGCTCCTGCAACCGCCCGTGGCCTCTCAGACACTACAAACCCCAAACCTGGCAATTTTCTGGAATTATTTGTTAAGTGAAGCTGCCCCACCTGAGGCTCTGCTGGGCCAGGAGGGATTATCCCAGCTGGAGGTAGGAGCATGGAGTGTGAGAACTCCAGAAGGGCAAAGCAGGATGCTCTGCAGGGCCTGAGGCAGAGAGGTTCAAATCACCGCCTGAAATTCCCTAAAATTCCCCAATAAAGCAAGTTCCTGCAGGTTTGCAAGTAGTGTCGTGTAACCCCTGGGAGTGTTGGTTCCAGGCTTTGGCCAGGCTGCAGTTGGGTCTCACTGAGCTGGGGCTGGGCAGTGGCTGCTCCCACCCGGTGCCCCCCAATCCCCCTCCTGCCGGGGGTGACCCTCCTGTGCCACGACCCTTTGCTCCACGGGGCATCCTGCCATGGCCCAATCCTTCATCCACAGCCCTGTGATCCCTGCTCTGCTCTTGGCTCAGTCCCACCCTGTCACCCAGGAGCTGGGGAGGGTGAGGGGAGGTGGGCAAGGCGGGCGGGAGGCAGGGCTGGCACAGCACCACGACCCCGGGGGATGGATGGGGCACCTCCCTGCTCCCAGGGGTCCATGCTGGAGCTGGGGGGTTCTGGGAAGCTGCTGCCTTTTAAGGCTGCCCTGGGCTGATGGATCTGCTGCCAACCAGCTCAGCACCAGGGTCCTGGGGGCTGGCACAGAGCGTCTGCTCAGCGTTAAGGAGTGATGGGTTCCCCCAGCAGTGCCCCCTTCCCCTTCCCTCACTCCTGGCTCTACTTGGCTTGAATCCACAGCCCAGCTCTGCCCCAGGCACTCCAGTGGCACTGCTCCCACCTGGAAAGGGCCATGGGGACAGGAATGGCACTGCTCCCACCTGGAAAGGGTTATGGGGGCATAAATGGCACTGCTCCCACCTGGAAAGAGCTGTGGGGACAGGAATGGCACTGCTCCCAGCTGGAAAGGGCCGTGGGGACAGGAATGGCACTGCTCCCACCTGGAAAGGGCTGTGGGAACAGGAATGGCACTGCTCCCTCCTGGAAAGGGCTGTGGGGACAGGAATGGCACTGCTCCCACCTGGTAAGGGCTGTGGGGACACAAATGGCACTGCTCCCACCTGGAAAGGGCCGTGGGAGGCTGTGAGGGGACAGGGGCTGCTCCCCTGGTGCTTCCCTCTGCCCACTCTTCACCCCCCCGGGACACTGGATTTTACTGTATCCCAGGTGATGCCCAGACTATTCCTGGGAACCACTGGTGCCATCAGAGCTGTCAGTGGCATCAACCCCGTGCTGCCAGTGCTGATCCCAGGGCACGGGCTGCCCTCGGCTGCTGCCCTTGGGGTGTGAGGCAGCAGGGAATGGGCAGGGGCTGCACCACCAGGGTCTTCCTCACCCAAAATGCTCCCCTTGGGGCGGGCAGCAGGAGGGGAGGAAGGGCAGGTGGGCACAGGGGGGTGGCAGCCCCCAGAGGTGCCTCTGTGTCCCATCCAGGCTTCACTCCTCAGCTTCACCTCCTGCCACGGGGCCACGTGTGTGTTCTTGGAGACCCTCAGGCACTCCTGGAGAAGGGATGTGACCGAGACCCCCACCGGGGTCTGCCTTGGGGTCTCTTGATGTGCTTTTGGGGTCCCAGCCCCAGCCAGGGTGTGCTGGCCCAGGGTGTGTGTGCTGCAGACAGCCCGTGGCTGTTGCTGTTGGATGAACTCTCTGGTGATGTTTGCTGGGGCTCAAGGCTCGAGCAGGGAGCCATAAAAAGGGAGGATAACATCAGAAGAGGAAAGTGGAAGGAAGCCAAGAGGAACGTGGCCAAGTGCCCTTTCCTTCTTTCTCTTTCGCTCTGTGTGGGGAACCCCCGAGGGTGTGGGACGTGTCACATCCCTGTGCCAGCCCGGGCACGGCCCCACCACCGCGGGGACACACGAGAGGAATGTCCCTGGAGGGGGTTTTGGGGGTCCCGGGGAGAGCAGGGAATGCAGGGAGGCTGAGCTGGGGGAGAGGGGCCCAGGGAAAGAGCTCCCGTAGGGATGGAGCTGCAGCTCCCGCTCCACCTCGGGGCACATCCACGTGGGGTGGCTTCTGTCACCGCCTTTGGCGGCACGGGAAGGCGGGTCGGGGTAGGAAGAGCCCCGTGGCTGCATCCCGGGTGTCTCCACGGAAGGAATTAAGCAGGACGGGGCGGGAGACGGCGGCGGGAGGAGCGGAGCGTGTGCGGACACCCCGCGGGCGGCTGGACCGGCCTCTGCCAACCCCTGCCAGGGCCACGGGGAGGGACAATCCTGGCTCCGAGAGGGGACAACCCCGGCTCCGGGAGGGGACAACCCCGGCTCCGGGAGGGGACACCCCCGGCTCCGCGCTGCTTGTCCCCGCAACCCCCTCAGCGGGATTCCCGCCCCGGGAATTCCGTGCCACCGGCTCAGCACACCCCCACGAGCGATCCCCGGCGCTGGCGGAGGGTTGGGAAGCGGGGCTGACCCCGGGGATGCCCCGGCAGCTCCCCCACGGGTGACCCCCGAGGGCCGGGGGAGGCTCCCCAGGGAGATGCTCCCCTTCCCGGGCACGGGCTCCCCGTGCCAGGGGACGGGCCGTGGCACATCCCGAGGGTCCCGTGCCCTGGGGGAGGGCAGCGGGGTGCCGGGTTTTGGGGT